GGCAGAAAAAAGGAGGAGAAAGAATGTCGCGCATACACATTTACGCGGGCGTCTAATGAGAAAGCTGCGAGAATCGAATCGGACGATTTACCGTCCGCCCGAGCGGAAACGTCGCGATTGCAGAATTGGTTATGTATTTCCACGTGCCGGCGCGGCTGGCGGAACGGCGAGTTGGGAGATTGCGTGAACGACGGGCTTGCACAGGGACGCATTCAGAAATACATTTGGCTCCCGGGAAAACGATCGATGGAGCAGCCGACGGAAGCCGCTTTTCCGCGACCTTGACGGCGCGCTTTTCCGATCTCTTAGCGGGTTTTCTAGATTCGGTTTTTGACGATGACGACAACGACGACGACGACGACGACGACGACGGCGACGCGGTATGCACGGGGCACGTTGAGAGGGGAATGACACCGCGAAGGCACCTGCCCGGATCTGCCGGCATTGTATTTTCAAGGCGGGCTACCATGCGCGATCGTCGACGGAGTTTGCGAGGGTCTCTGAATTTTCGGGCAGCCGGCGCTCTTCCCGTGGGACACCGGAACAACCTTAGCCGGCAAATTGGAATACGCGAAAAGGGGAGAGAAATGACGGCACGTTGGGCGGCGATCGTAATAATGAAACGGTGAAACGAGACGTCGCTATCTACGGCGGGACGGCGCGACGCGGCGTCCCGCGCTTCGCCGGGAATTTTACCGGTGCGCGATGTTCGTCGGCATAGAATGTTGTTTCAGCATACGTAAGCCGCGTATATGACAGCCCACGTTGCACGTAGCACATTCGTGCGCGCGCGCGGGCTTATATACATGTCACACATACAGGGCTCGAGACGGAGCGCACTGGGCGCACTGATTAAATAACGAATATCTGCGGAGATGCGAACGCGTATGAAACGCTGTCGTCGTCGGCGGCGTCGTCGTCGTCGTCGTCGTCATTGTCGTATCCCGCGTGTCTCCAATTATATCTACGAGGAGATGTCGCGAGACGCGCGACTTGTCGATTTTTTCTCATTCCGGGCGCCCGAGCCGTGTTATTAACACGCGGACCGCCTTGCTGTTGGTCTCCGTCGGTTGTGAAAATTGAAGATTGAATTATCAAAGGCACGCTAAATTAATGCAATGCGCGGAGCATAGAGAAGACAACGCGGGGGAAACAATGGGAAAGCGGTCGCGAAATTTCCCTCTCAGAATATGAATATTCTCGCTTGAGTTAAAGTATAACATGGGAGGGAGATAGCATGAAAAGAGGATAAAGAAGGCAAATGAAAAAATATTGCGAACAAGTTAATATTTCTCTCCTTATATTATCGGAATTTTTTGAATTGTTGACCGGATTACAAAGAAATGAACGAATCAATAAAAGTTCTGTTCTGGCACCCTCTATATATATAAGGTGTATAAAAAGTACAACATTTGATGATTTAATTTGATTATTTCAAAATTTTCAAAGGTCGAGAAGTTAAGAAAAGTTAGGGCACTATTGTAACAATATATTCTTGAGACCAGGTAGAGTAAAAAAGTCTAATATCACTTTTCCTCCCGATAAATGGTAAGTTTAATATTGAAAAAGTTTCCAAGTTTTCCTTAAATATCTCAAATATCTCAAAAAGTATTAGGTAAATAAAAAAATGTTTCAGACAAGTCGTCCAAATTAATTGATAGAAAAAGATGATATAATAAAAAATTGGGGTTTCCGTTAAAAAAAAAACAGTTGTTTCATACACCCCTTGATATATACATACAACTTTTATACATACAACCATACAACTTTTATCCAAAATATTTTTTTCTAAAATGTTTAGTTTTCGAGATATTTCACCGTCCCGGTACTTTTTATACACTCTGTATATTTTTTATCTCCCTCTCTCTCTCTCTCTCTCTCTTATTGTTTTTCTTTATACATCTCCCGTCTGTCGCCGCCTTGATAGATAGTGAGAATTCGGCTTTAACCGCGTATGAGCGAGGGGAGGCGCGCGCTTTTCGAGGATTGCGGCAGTCGATTCAATCGCGCGTCGCGCGATCTCCTCGTCGCGCGGAAGTTGAGCACGCGTTTCAGACTTCGCGATTCGATTTAGCCCCCGAAATAAAAGTAATATTTCGCGTCCCGGCTCGGCTCTCGAGCGTCGTCGCGTTTACGCATCCGCAAGCTCCGAGGCGCTTTTCCCGTCAGCCGACGACGGCGGAGTCGCTTCGAAAAACGCGGCCTGTGAGTGACGTGCGCGCTGGCGGGGAACGGGGGGTGGCAATCGAATTTCTTTTGACAAGAAACAAATCAATTGCAAGTTCGCTCACAGACGAGAGGCTTAACAAACGCGCGCGGACAGATGCCAGCGAATAAAAGCGCCGTCACGACCGTCGGCGGCCGGGAGAGTGATTGGCATCGTCGCGACACAAAGACGGGGGCGCGATCTGTCTGATGTGCTCGCGCTCTCGAATCGAATTTTGATTAGTCGAGATCCTGCGCGCGCGAGCGCGCGCGCACGCGTCTGCTTCTTCCTCCGTCGGCGGAGTGAAATTCCGCGTTTTTCCAGCGAGATTTTTCACGACGCGCCGTGGCGCCACTATCGATCCTCCATCTTGGGGAAAAAGGTGTCTCGAGCGCGACTCGAGCCTCCGTGCGAAAGAATATTCCGTTACACGAGGAGGGTTGTCGAGAGCCGCCCGTCATTTGCTCAGCGATTGCCGCGGGGTGACGTATTAAGTTAACGTCACAACGTCGCTCTCGTCGCAACGACAAGACGATTCGCGTCGACTACGTCGGGCGCCGGCAGCGCACCCCTCCCCCCCCTCCCCAACCCCGACGACCCCCTTCCAAGGCGCCCCGGGAATGTAAATCCTCGCAGACCGCGCGCGCGGTCCTTTAACTTGCGAGTATGCGCTCGGTTGACGTTAAGTGGATAAAATTCGTCTAGAGTCAAATTCAATATCTCGTCCTTTCAACAACAACGTGTCCTCGCGCGAGGTATCTCGAGCGGCGCTCGGAGGTTCTCGCGTCAAGACTCCGCTCCGACATGGTGTACTCTGATCCTACGGTATTGAATTGCCGTGTCATTTGCGAAGTGCCGTGCGATAATTTCGCGAGAGCTTGTGCGTCGATGAGTGTATGTCATGGCGGCAGTGTCGATTTCCACCGGTGCCCATAAAATGCCGCTCGCGCATCACGTTGTCGGACAATTTTATTCTCTCCCTTCTCTTCCTGCCCCTTGCTCTACCTTCGTTGAATTCTTACGGAGCAAACAAATCTATTTACGATTTTACAAGAAAAACAACTGAATTATTGATTCGCTAAACTGAATTGCTGAGTAAATCGTTGAATCAAGGATAGATAAATGCATTGTTACTCTAGAGAGCTTCGTTTTCCAAATGGCATTATAGTGAAAAATAAAATGTTGAGGGATTTTAAGTGTGCAATCTTGTCATTAGAAAGATTCGTCCAAACGTTACCGCGGTAGATCATGAGAAAATGTCAATTGTGTTGTAATATTCGAAAAGATACGTGAAAAAGATATGGTGAAAGAAGATATGTTCGAGATGCGTATTTTATATCGTTTTATTTATGTTCGAGATGTGTATTTTATATCGTTTTATTGGCAACAAAATTAATTTTCGTTTCGATACTTTTAGAACTTATACGCCATGGCATTCAATGCGTCAACGATAAATTCTGTGAAGAATACGCCGATAAAGTCGTCGCTGCAGTATCAGAAGTGTGATTTACTTTTGAAGGTTCTTTCCTCAAAAACTGATTTACTTAAACGAGATAATGAAGGAATACCTTAATCAAAATTCGTTCGTTCGACTTCGTTTTCTACAACTTTTTCCCATCTTTCTGGAAAGAGATAAACTCCGCGACGACAAGAAGATTCTTCTTTGGAGTTTGGATCCAATTTTCGACAAATTTTCGCGCTCTTCCAAGTTATGAAAGTGTGTATCTTCTAGAATATGTTACATTAACAGGAACAAGTGATAATCGGATGGAGTAATGTCTGAAGAATACGCGGGGTGCGATTTGGCATTCCAGCTCTAATAGTGTTTGCTTCACTGATAATGCAACATGAGGTCGAGCATTGTCGCGAAGAAGGATCACTTTGCGCCGTTTACTCGCAATTGGTGATCGTTTTTGGTCCAATGTTCGCTTCAATTTGTATAATAATTGTTATCGATGACGACAAGCGGTGACAGTTTCATTCGGATTTAACAGTTCATAATACACAACACTTTCTTGATCCCACCAAATACCTTTGAACTATGAATATTGCGCGCCGAATGTTGCTGGTTGGTCTGGATCAACTCATGATTTTTTTTTGGAATTATTAAAATAGATCCATTTTTCGTCCTCAGTAACAATTCAACACAAAAAACTCTTCATTTTTTATCTGACGACTAACGAAATGCCAGTGTTCAACCGGTTCGCAATAGCATTTTTCGATAATTGACGTGGAACCATTTTCCTTCTTTGTAAATCTTTCCCATATGATATAAACTTTTAGTAACTGTTATACGATCAATATTTAATGCTCTAGCAAGTTCTGAAGTGGATTGTGCTGGATTTTCGTCCAATAATGCTTGCAAATCAAATTTTTAAGCTTTTTTACTTGTCCCGAGCAATTTTTGTCGTTAACATTGAAATCATCACTTTTGAATCATCTAGACCAATATTCACCTGTCTTAATTAATGGAGTAACATCACCACAAGTTCCTATCAAAGTTTTATGACCTTCAGCCGCCGTTTATTTTCCGATTAAAAAACAAAAGCAACGCTTGTCAAAAATGATGATCTTTAGGCAATTATTCTTAAGATAGTATTAACACGATTTTTACTGAGCCTATTGTTAATAAGTGACTAAATATCATGGATTAATATTAAAGCGTTAAGAAACAATAGCTGTGATTGAAATGTCTTCTACAAAACTGACATTGATGTCATCTCTTGCAAAAGCTAAATCTAATATCTCACGATTGAATGAGCGGGGAAACTCATGCGTGTGTCGTGGCTTTTACCTTTTCTCGATCACCGATGTGGATCAGCATCCTCGCCTTGCCTTCCTCTAGGTAGATCTGCAAGCGGTCGGGGTTATTTTCCAGACTAGTCGCTAGGAGAAGACCGCGCGGCCGTGTCGTCTTGAATCGCACGATGACCTCCTCCGCCTGCGTCCTGGAGTCCTCCGGCATCAGCGCGGTCATCTGCTGCGTGCCGTTCAGATGAAGTGTAGATGCGTCTATAAGAAGCGTAAGATGAACGTAAATTGTGAGTTTAAATTCAAGAAAACGAAATGGACCCGTTACTCTTCGATCCAAAGAACATGAGAAGCGTCAGGGAACTGTAAAAGTTTATTGAACTTTAAGGAATATTTTTCTAATTAATAATAACGAAATAACACGTCATATTCAATTGTAATGAGATATCTATGGATGGATGAAATTCTGAATGGTTGAAGACGCTCTTTGTGATAACCTCGAAACCTTGACTTTTTATTTAAAAATCCCCACAACAAACATTTAAGGTTAGGAAGGCGTCTAGATATCACTACTCTTATCTCATTTATCATCGTTATCTGTATCGCTGCTACTTTTCAATTAGCGAAATTGCTTAATTCTGCAAAATGACTCGTTTTGCAAACCGATGAATTCATCGACGACCCGATCAACGACCCTTACGAGCTCCCCATCCACATCTCAGTTTTAACCCAAAGAATCGACGCCACCCCGTCTCTTTTTTCCGCATACTCCATTCGAAATGACATGACGTACCTTTGCCGCAAGTGGGTCCGGTGAAAGGTGTGCCCGTGCAGTCGCAATGAAATCGATTCCACCCTTCGAGACAGTGGCCATCATGCATGCACGGCTGCGAGGGGCAGTGCGGGGGTTGAATGTGGCACGCGGGTCTCACTGCGCCTGTAAGACAGATCAACGGACGCAATGAAGATGGTGACGATGTTTGGCGAGTTTTGCGAATCGGGGTAAATGTAACGTCAATTTTTTCGAATGTCCCATCGGCGAATTATGTGTTCGAAGCGTTCCCTTTTCTCTCCGAAACTAACCTCAAAGCGAACACACACCCCCGTATTCATAAATTCTCTCGTGGTTATAACATTATAATAATAATGTAAAATATGATAAAAAAGAAAATTCGGAACACACGACGCAGTCGCTGATCATGGGGTGGATAGCTGTATAAGTCGCTTAGATAACAGCAGGCAGTCGAGAGCTGCGGTGTCCGAGTGGTTAAGGAGTCAGACTCGAAATCTGATGGGCTATGCCCGCACAGGTTCGAATCCTGTCCGCAGCGGATGAATTTTTTTTCGTCGACGGCAGCGTAGAAAAATCACCATTTTCACCCATACCGCATTGATACTATCGAGATCGCTCACCGCTGGGTGTTTTTGTTAAAAAATGGTTAACAAATATGATCGTTACATCGGGTGAACGCGACAGGAAAAAAATATTTTTCCACAGCGATCTGGAGGCGGAGCACTTTGCTCCGCCGTCATGCTCGATTACGTCTCTCCGGGGCTATAACTTTTTATTCGCATTGTTGAAAGTCTTACGTTCGATTGAACGTTACTCGACGACGGCGGCGGAACTCGCCGAGTGAATATTCATCCTGCGAGCGATATTATATCTTCCGCGCTACTTTTTTTTTAATCCTTTCGCAAAAACAACTCCGAGACTTTGTATTTATGAAAAAATAAAATTGCTCGCGGGGAAAAGAGACAGACGGGGGGGAGGGGGGAGAGAGAGAGAGAGAGAGAGAGAGAGAGAGATATATAGAGTAAAGGATCACGTCGCATTCCGAGACTATGGTGCGTGAATTATTTCGCGAAAATGCGAAGCATGCCGTTCTGACCGTTGTAAAATTTCCCTACCGGAATCCTGCTGCTGTGCGTAGCCGGCGATGTCTACCGGGTGCCCATTGATCACGAGGTCCCTCATGCAGCCCACGTAGCCTTGTCGAAGAGCGCCCGTCCATAAAACCGGCGGCACTGTTAACGGGGCAAAGGGTGCGCCGACACCGCCGATGTACAGCAAACCGTCCAGATCTAATTGCGTGGAATCGCCTGCAAGGACAACATATTTTTACTACTAGTCTTTTGAGTTGTGACAGAGAGAGTGGGGGGAGAAGGATATTGGGAAATTTTAATAAGTGACTAGTCAAGTGAAAAAGTTTTCCTTCCCTTCCTTTTCTCTTACATCCCTTTTTTTTCGATTTTTCCTCTTTTTCCTCTTTCCTCCTTCTTCTCTGCCCTTCGTACATTTCTCTTTTCTCTCTTTTCTTCTTCTCTTAATAATATTTACATCAAGTGTATTTTACCAAATGAATAATTTTCATAAATAAATAAATAAAGATAAATTTTATCCACGCATTGCATTAAATCGTGATATCAAGAATACAGCTTATTGAATAATTTATTGTGGGAATTAACGTTCAATAAATGCGTCTCTACTCTTAAAAATAATCTAGTCTTTGATTTATACAATAATTGGGCATCCTCGTTATTCTACTGGGAGAGCAGACGACAGCTCGATGAAATATTAACGTGCGGTAAACGGGCGAGAATCGCCGCGATAATAAAAGTACTGTCGTAAATACTATCGACCGGCAACTTTCGTCGAACGTCGAGAAAATTAAACCCTCGCCGATGCCGCGATTGTAAAAAACGCTGCGCTTTGACATTTTGCGATCGATGGAGGGCGCGAGATTTACAGATTGAAGGATCATCGGATTGGACTTATTTACGCGGTTGTGATCGTGCATGCGCGAGCGCGACGAACCACCGGCAAAGAAATGAGGAGTCGCGAACTCGTCAACAACAAAGTCGGAAACTGACCGAAACGCGATATGAGTGACACTCGCGACGCAATAAAAAATAGAGATGTGGAAGTCAGAGAGAAAGAGAGAAAGAGAGAGAGAGAGAGAGAGAGAGAGAGAGAGAGATAGAGAGGGGGAGAGAGAGAGAGAGAGAGAGAGAGAGATCTTTCCCGAATTTTTTCTTTTCTTTTCCTTTTCTCTCTCGCGCTCGACAGCAATCCGCGTTATTTGCGCGCGGTTTTGCAAGAGCGCAAAGACGAAATTGCCCTGGACTTCTCCGGAGCTGGAATTCAAAGGCGAGTTTCGCCGGCAAATTAACCGCCCGTGTAATTCGGCTAACCGCGACAGGTCGTGGTCGCGGCAGAGCAGAAGCAGTAGTATGTGGCGGTCGGACTGAAGTTATGAATTTATCCCACGAGTACATTCGACGAGCGAGACGGGGAAAAAAGATGGACACAAAAAAGATAGACCGGCAGAGGAGGGGGAGGGGGGGAGAGAAGAGAAGAGAAGACCGAGCAGACGCGGAAATTTTCGGGAGCCGCTCGTTGATGAAATTTACTGCGAAAATTCCCCGCAAAAGCCCGAGAATCAGCGCGCGATCTGGAATACGCAATGAAGAAGCGTGTGCGCATAAACGTAATCATTTATTGCGCTTTAATTAATTTCGGCTCCGAGGAGTTGCGCAAAAATTGTGCTCCTGCTCTATGAGAGGGCTGCCGGAGGAGCGCGTGCGATGTTTTTTAAGCGGAAAAACGTTCGATCGTGTAATTCAGTTGCATAGACGTTTCCATTAAAACGCGAGAGGGGAGGCGAGACCATACACATATACGCGCGCACTCACGCACACATACACACACACACAAGCGCGCGCATATCACCGTTGGTAATAAATTAAAGAAACATTCCGTGTAATAACCGCTGCTGTCGATTAAATTAAACGCAAATAAACCAAGCACAAGGAAAATAAATAATGAAATTGACTAGTACTCAGCGATGAAATTAAACGAGCTTTCTCTCCCCTTCCCTCCCTCCCTCCCTCTCCCTCTCGCGCGCGCGTGCTATCGTCTACCATCAATGCAATTACTACCGCTAATTCGGTTAATACTCGTGCATTTTGTCCGCTGCTCGAATATACCATCTTCTGTCTCCATTCTTCCGGGAAAAAGGAGGAAAAAAGGCAGAGGGAAAAGAGAGGTAGAGAGAGAGAGAGAGAGAGAGAGAGGTGGCGGAGGAGGAGGGAAGAGAAGCTAAAGGAACAAGCGGCGCAATAACGTCCTCGACGCTCTAAGTCGCCGTTATCTGCCGGAGAATATATGGGTCCTCCGCTGTCTCAATGAAATTCTTTTTATCATTTTTTGCGGTATCGGGCGGCGTGTTCGCGGCCGGTACACACGTAGTGCTCTATCACTTAACCGCGGCGCAGTGAGTAAATTCTGGACATCGCGCGGCGCGGCGCGGCGCGCACCGACGTAAACGGCGAGAGCTGAGCGGGCCGAGTCACTCATAATTCAGAGTTACACGCTCGAGGACACTTATCTGCCAGGCCGGGCTAGGCGCTCTATATATACGGTGAGATAGTTCTTTTTGAAAAACTGCCGGTAGCGCGGATTCGTGGCGGCGCGGACACCGCCGTCGCTGCCGCCACCCCCCGCTCCTCCTGGCCGCACGGCCGATCGATTTATCGATCGAACGCGCCTGGACGAGCTTTGCATTTCCGAGATACCGAACGACATTTCCGGGTCGGGGGTGGGGGGGGGAGGGGGAGGAATAGTTAGCTCCTACAGAAGCGGCGTTTACAGCGAGTTTTTACGTCACCTGGAGTGCGAAACTCGACTGTCCACGTGTCGACGGTGACGCGTCCGTCCCTTTCGACTCTCCTGAGGGCGACGTCGTGCCATATACCGTCGTCTACGCGTGTCTTGGACGCTCGCACTTTGACAGGGCCACTGCCGAGGTCAGCATGCAGATAGAGATGCCCGCCGAGGAGCTCGAAGGCGAACAGGTCTTGCTGCAACGGACAGAAGCAAGTCGTTCGTGCGTTAAATGAACCGGTGCATTAAATGAACCATGTTAAACTAAGTGAAATTCATCAGGCTGTATACGTTATTGTAAGCACTTTACGTATGAATACATTATTAAAAAATATTAGGCAACCAAGAAAGTTCATACTGTCTCAATCAGTAGAGATAGATAATAAATTTCATCATAATTAATTTCGTCATAATTAATTTCCGTAAGAGCGTCATATACCGGTGAACTCTCTGTTAAAATAAGCTTTTGTTTAAGCCTGCATAATCACACTTTTAATTGATAGTGTGCGCATGTGCAGTTTGACGATGACAAAATCTAGGAACGTCATGAACTTTTTTGGTCACCTGATATATTAAACAAATAAGTTTCGGTATTACATCCAATAATGCGATATTATGTACTTCCGCTATTTTTTTAACCCGTTTAGAATTATTTATATTACGGTGTAGAATTATTTATATACAGAGTGTCCAGGATCTTTTGGAAATGAAAAATTGTGAAGATTAATCAAATTAAAGAAGGAAAAGCAAAATACCATTTTGCAAATAAATACGTAGATTTTCAAATTATCAAGTAAAAAGGCAAACAGTTAGCGAGATATCGTAAATTAAATATTGAAAAAGTTACCAAGTTTTTCTTAAATATTTCAAAAAATATTAGATAAATATAAGAATGTTTCAGAGTTGTTCGGAGTGAAAATGTTTCAAAAGTTGTTCATTAATTATTAATTGGTAGAAAAAGATGATAATAAAAAACTGGGATTTCCATTTAAGAAAAGTAATGATCAGTGAATATTTCGAAATTGGTGCCATTTGTAAACAAAATGATATAGCTGGTTGGTTGTTTGGTTAACTGATGTTATTTTATGTTCCTCTTGAAACCATACAACTTTTGTCTAAAACATTTTTTTCTAAAATACTTAGTTTTCGAGGTATTTCGCCGTTCCGGTATATATATATATATATATATATATAGTGGCGTGCAAAACTTTTGAGCCACACAATTATTATTATATATTCATTTCATAATGAGCGCTAAAAACTTTACACATATATATAAACAAAATGTATTTATTTGTCCTACAATTATATAAACTTTACAAACTCTTAATAATTCTAAATACTTTATTTTTACACAATGTCTTATTACAAACAGTGCAAAAGTATTGCGCCAAAAAGTTTTCTTATGCATAAGAAAAATATATTATTGAAAAATAATAACAGAAAATGTCAACGTTTTCTTAAACTTAATACTTTGTTGCCATGCCTTTAGAAACAATCACTGCAGCACAACGGCGAGGCATTGATGCCTTAATCACGGCTTTGCGTAACTGAAGGCTTATATGTTTCGGCATTGTGGTAGACAATAGACTGAAATTTAGTTAAAGCAAATATTTACGAAGGAGTTTCATAAGAAACGTAAACAAACCGGGCTCATAAAGTCACAACAAGAATACGGCTCAATACTTTTGAACACATGTAAATATTATATGACTAAATAATTAGAAATTATGTAATTTCAAAATTTTGTAACTGTACTATTATTTGTAAGAATGTTATGTCAATTATTTTATATAATTAATTTTTAGAACAAATCAATATATCGTCATGTATCTTAAAAAGACACTATGGCTCGAAACTTTTGCACGCCACTGTATATAGTTTATATTATGGTGCAGCTGTTTTTGTACGATGGAGAAGACTTAGAATTGCTATTTGCGCAATCATATTTGAATTTCATTCGCGTAAGACTAATATCACAGCGTAAGACTTTAGCGCAGCTGGCAAATTGCGGCTAAGCGCGCAGGGGAGATTTATTCGCCGTCTGTGCTTGAAATAAGAAAAGGTTACTATGGCAATTTTCATTGAATTTCCGTTATTAGACAGATGAAGATATATTACCGCGTGTTGGCGCATCATCGTTATTAGGGGAATTACGCGGTAAATGAAGACGTATCGCGGAGATTTACCGGCCGCTAAAAAGGGCCTGTCAACTTCGGCGAATAACATATAAATTAAATTAGACTGCTTATTTAACTTTAACGCCACGTCTCGGTGACGTGGATGAAAGTAATCGACAATGCAACGCAAAACAACAGTCGCGTCGACTGACATTCGTTAATCCGTTTCGCCCCCGACGATCGCCATTTTATCCCAGAATAATCTCAGATGATAATAGAAATTATAACGGTAATTGCGCAAATTAGCTCACACTTGTGTGAAATTTTTAGAAAAAAAGGATGAGTGACAGAAAGAGCACGCGTCTCGAAATAGGCGAGTAATGAAATAAAATTTAGGAGAGTAAGTCGCTGGCCATCACAGCTCATCGATCGTCGGAGTGTCAGAAGGATGGAATTGCGTCGATAATTAAATTATCCCCAGCCGAGCGTACAATCGCGGGCGCGGGCGAGCACAGGCGGGCGCGCGCGCGACCGAAATGAGTTTCGGGACAAAAGCAAGCTGTTATTTCGAAAAACGTTTCCACCGGCCAATAATTGCGCAGACGCGTAATCGTACTTTAACAGCCGCGCGCGCGTTCTGTGTCCCATTATATAACTTTCCGAATTATTTTTCTCCTCTTTGTGCCGGGAGTTGCTCGAATGTTATAAATATATCAAAGAAATTAATTTCGAGCGCGCGCGTCCGTCCCGTAGAAATTCCCGCGAAAAACAGTTTCCGCAAGGATCTGTTCGAAAAGCGACGGAAAGAGAAGGAAAAAGGGAGGAAAGAGAAAGAAAGAGAAAAAGCCGCACGCCGCGCAGTTGAAGGAGAGCGCGATTAACGCGGCGGGGCGCGTTACTGCGCGCGTAAATATTTCTCCATCAATTAATCTGTTATACTTTCGCCGCTCTCCTCTCCGGTGATAATATTTAAAGTGAAACCGCCGTTAAGTACGCCCTGGTCGCAGCGTGACCGTACCGAGACGTGACAGGGAGGAAGTAGAGAAAAAATAGGGCGGCGAAACTTTCACACACAGTGTAAGTCCCGCATCAGGAGCGCGAGGAAATCCGTGAGGAGAGATAGAGAGATTAGAACAATTAGAGAGAACTTCTGCTAAAGAAGGACACACGTACCCTCGTGTGCGCCCCGCTGCGGCTGTACATGATCAGTCCGTTCTGCTCATTCGTACGGATTTTGAAGGATATACTTCCGGACTTGGCGGCCTTCCAGGGTGGCAGAACCTGAAACAAATGAGACAGACGGTTCTTACTACGTCGCTCCGGGGTCTAAGAGGAGAAAAAAGACGGGCGAGGAAGAAGCCGTGTCGTCCTTGAGAGAAGAATGGACGAGCCAGACTCGCCGTGCCTGGCATCCGAAATCTCTACGTGCAGCCCTATGCGGAATCCGCCATTCGTCAAGGGGCGCTTAAAAAAATCGGGTCGTTTCTTGGGCACAAGCGCAGCGCACGCCCGCTTCTTCGGCGCGAGCGGAGGACGGCGGAGGAGGAGGACCGCCGTCGCTCTGTCGATATTTATAACGACGACGGATATCTTCTTGCACGACGGAGAGAGAGAGAGAGAGGAGACTCGACTCTCCCGTTTATATGTGGAGAGTGCACGTGTATACAGGGTGATTTATCTCGAACGCCCATCTAAGGGATTTTGGAAGAGTGGCATTATTCGAAAGGCGATTCGAACAAAAGTTGCAACTTCGGTCTAATATTGTCCAGACTTTTGTCCGAAACGTGTCTCTCGAACAGGGCGCTCCTCTCATTCGAGATACTTCAGATGGACGTTTCAAACGGGTCACCCTGTGTATGTCGAGAAAGATTCGTCGATCCCGTGGTCGCGGAATATATACGCGGGATTGCGTATGTCCGTATGAGAAAGAGAGCTGAGATGAGCGTGTAGATCTGTATGTCGTTTCGTTTCGCAGCGTGCGCTATTTTTCGAGAGACCTGCTGTTTTTCGAGAGACGCACTTTATGCATAAAGGTATTTCAGAAAGGATCGGCTGGCTATGTGCGATTGTATTTTTTTCATCAGACAAACGAAAGTGTCCCTCTAAACATAATGTGCCCAAAACGTTCAGTTTAAGAGTCAATGCCCAGTCGAGACTAAGAAGGTCCGTTATTTCGACATTAAGACGTAAACAACAATATTGATTTAAACAAATGTCCAAAATTAAAAGGAGCAAGAATTGAAGAAGGTGCAGAATATCCACCGCGTGTGAAATAATACAATTCTAGACATCACGAAATGTCTTTGCAAAGGTGCTAAAATTTCTGGAGTATTGCATATCATTCGACATCCATTTTTTATAAAAGTTATTGTTCGGAACCGAGTAAACAATTATTTTCAGATGGCCTCATAGATAGAAATCAAGGGTGGATTTAATAATTTAAATAAATAGTGTATAAATAGTATATATTATACGTTAAAACGTTGCAATTAATTCTTTTAATCTTGACTCAATATTAATTTTTCAAATAAGCGTTTTAGGAATTATGGTTATACAAACTTTTTTGTTCGTCGCGATGAGGAGAATATAACTATACATAGCCAGCCCTTTTTTGGATAACCTATATATATATTTTTATATGCGGGACGCAAAGATTTTCTTCTGTGTGTGCGTATGTGTATGTGTGTGTCCGCGACGGGATAATTTTTGCCAAGATTATCTTCAATGTTTTCGTATAGAGCGCGTTTCGTTTCACAGCGTGTGCTATTTTTCGAGAGACCTGCTGTTTTTCGAAAGACGTACTTTGTGCATAAGAATGTTTCAGAAAGGGTGGGCTGGCTATGTGCGATTGTAATTTTTTCATCAGACAAACGAAAATGTCCCTCTAAACATAGTGTGCCCAAAACGTTCAATTTAAAAGTTAATGCCGAGTCGAGACTAAGAAAGTCTGTATTTCGACATTAAGACGTAAACAACAATATCGATTTAAACGAATTTCCAGAATTAAAAGAAACGAAAGTTTTAGGAGGAGCAGAATATCCACCGCGTGTGTGAGATAATACAGTTCTGGATTCTAGACATCACGAAATGTTCCTGCGAAGATGCTCAAATTTCTAGAATATTGCATATCGTTCGACATCCATTTCCTATTTTTTGTAAAAGTTGTTGTTCGGATCCGAACAAACAATTATTTTCGAATGGCTTCATAGACAGAAATCAAGGGTAGATGAGAGAATATAATTGTACGTAGTCAGCCCTTTTTTTCAATAGCCTGTATATTTTTTTATATGCGAAACGCAAAGATTTCTTTCTGTGTGTGTGTGTGTGTATGCGCGCGACGGGATAATTTTTCCTAAAATTATTTTCGGTGCTTTTGAATAAAGCGCGTCGGGGATATTTCGTTACATTTCCGCGCGCCCGATATCGCACGCAAAATAGTCATTCCTTTATCAGTCGCGTCTGTGACAAGAACGCTCTTTTTTCGCCGCCGCGAAGGAAAATATTTGAAGTGGAAATATTTTTTTATGCAACATTTGTCGAAAATTGTTTGAAGAATCAACAACGGGTCCAGGAGCGATGGGCGATGTGTGTTTCGTGTCCGCGGCAAAAAAAAAAAAAAAAGGATGCATGTATACACAGAGATATGTATAAAAATATACGTGTCTTCGTCGGCGGTCCGAAGTTTGGAAACTCATTTCGCGCGCCGACAGATTGCGAAATAATAGGATCGTTGACAGAACAAACGCGGAGAAAAATCCGAGGAAATCACGCGTATCGCGGCAACAGCAGCGAAATCGGAGACAGCGGGGAAAAAAATATGGCGTATCCCGCGGAGGCTACACATCGCGGAAAGACAGGAAATGGTCGGTCGAAATAACGGGATACGCTCGTGGCATCGCTGCACGCGCGCCGTGTATAACAGCTTTCGCGCGTCTGCGCTCGCAAGAATGAACTCCGCGTCCGAATTTAAATGAAACAGCGCGTTCCCCTCCACGTCGCGTCGCCGCCGCTGTCTTTATCCCGAGATTGTTTCTCGCGGCTTTGGCTTTTTTCATGTCGCCCGCGCGGGCCGCGACGATCCCTCCGCAATTTTCTTTTTCTCCTATTATTTCGCCTTTTTAATTGATTCCCGAGGCATTTAAGAGGAAAGAAGGAAGGGGGAAAAATTCCCTCCGACCCTTTTAATGAGCGTTCACGAGCGATAAACTTTGCAAGTTAAACCCGAGACCAAAAATGACTCGTCGCTTACATAATACTTGTTTTCAGACTCTCCCCCCGCCCCTCGCTCTTTGATTCTTTATCTATTTCATTTCACGCGGCGATTAGCCGCCGCGAGAGAAGTGATGAAATGTTGATCTCGCAAAAATCACCTGTTCCCTTCGCCGTTGGCAGAAGGCAATCTCGTTATCGGCAGCCTCGTCAAGTGTGAGCGGCCTTTCAGCGAATGCGCGCCTCGCAGAATCGCGCGCATAAATAACGTAAAAACTTTCCTTGCAAATTCCTCTTGTTTTCTCCCCGGCATGTAAAACGCCGCGCGCGCGTTCCACCTCATTCTCGATTTTCGCGAACGATCGATGCGGCCGAAAGAGGAACGGAGACGCTTCTCTCTCTCTCTCTCTCTCTCTCTCTCTCAAGAGAGAGAGAGAGGGGAGGGGAAGGACGACGGGGGAGAAAGAGAGAGAGAGAGAGAGAGAGAGAGAGAGAGAGAGAGAGAGAGAGAGAGAGAATGGTATACCACCACGTGCCGCATTATCCACTTTGACAGTCAAAAGTGGTGCAGCCATATTTAAAGCCGCGCTACGTTATACGGTCAGGTATGCCCTCTGAATAATGCAGAGCACGCCTAACCGCTATGAATCAGCATCAGACGGAATGGGTCCTCTCGTTGTAGTCATACTTCTTCTCTATCTTTTCAGCTCCGTAAAGATTCAGCATAAGCAACCGAGGATGCCGCCATAAGGACACCACCGCCGCGTCGCGTCGCGTTCCTCGCCTGCGCGACGGAACAATTTGTCGCCGCTTTATTTCGGAATGAAGTGCCGGCCATTTTTCCCTTCCCCTCCCCCCCCGCCCCCTCCCCTCGTCGCATCCGGCAATCCATTGCTCCTCGATCCGCGCTCGGTCCGCTAGCGTTATCCGGAGGAGATGCGCGAGCCATCTTTTCTCCGACACTGACACGGCACGGCGCGTCGTCCTTTCCGCGACGCGAGTCTCGTAGGTGGCGAATTTCGGCGAGGAGGTGTCGCCCAACGTCGTCGCCATTGAGCGATCGTATCTCGCCGAGCATCTTCATTAAGCACAAGCGCACAAGCTGGAGAACGTATCGTTTCGGGAGCAGCGATGTTCGCGGCGAGATCCGCGGCGGAACGAATCGTGTCCCGGCGGGGGAAACGCGTGGAAAATGAAGAGAGAGATCCCGGATTTCCGCCAGGAAACTTCCAAGACACGCGTGTCAGCATTCGGATCGTTCTCGCGCGGAATTTCACCGGCGACTACCTTCAGACACCGCGCGCGACAACAACTCGCTCGTCGAAGCCTGTGCGAACGTCTTGCCTTAAACGACCCCAAACACTCAGCGAACAATACGTCACAGACAATGGGGGTCATTGGCACGCGTGTGATTAGGAGATTAAAGAAAATACAACGACTGTCAACAGAGTAACAAGATTCTCTCTGAAGGTACGGTCGTACCGGAGCGACGACGGTTTCCCGAAAGTCAAGCGAATGTTACGAATGTTTCACGTGCGCACAATTCTTCGATTTCTTAGGATCGCGTGTTCCACAAACAACGCCGACGATGCGTTTAATCATAAAAAATCATAAAGTAAATTATTATCTGTTCTAATGACGGGTATACTTATATAATATATTGATATACAGGGTGTCCGGGATCCTCTGAAAATGAAAAATTATGAAGATTAATCAGATCAAACTGAGCAGAAAAGCCATGCACCATTTTGCAAAAATCGTAATGGTTATTAATGATTGAAAATGACCACATTTAGAAGCTTTTTTAATTGATAAATTTTAATTAATAATTTGGAAATTGCGAAATGGTAAAGGATTTTTTTTATTCAAAATGATCTAGCCTACAATTAGATGATGGCTATTATGCCTAGCGATAGGTTTAAGATTTAGAGTTCAAAGTTCAATATATTCATATCTACCGCTAGACACATTGCCGTCATATAATTGTATTAGGTTGGTGCAAAGATAATTGCGGTTTTTACATATTGAGTATAAAGACACATATATCAGTTAAAAATTTATTTATAATCGAT